TAAGCACGTGAATACACAAAGACTTACGAAGTATAGGATGTAAACCAGAGGTCACCAACCTTATCGTTCATGCTTCACCGAGCTGTACATTGCTCTATACTCTCCAGATCATCAAAATCTTATTCATCTTGCTGACCATATATCAGTTGAAGTGTCACAGGTTTGCGACCCCTGGATTAAACAAATTAATGACAATATATTAGGTATACAGTTTTACTGGGGATATGCTCAGTACTTTCTCTACCTCTAAGTCCCTTGCGGTCTGTTCGCTGAATCTGTACTCGCTCTCAGGTGTTCTTTTCACCTTCCTAATTTTCATAACATTACAAGCAATCTAGAATACTTTTCATAAATAAATTTGCTTTATAGTATATTATTTATGTACTCTCTTTTTATTTCCCAGTAAGTGGACAGTCAAGAACTGTGTTTAGAAAAGTGGCCGTAACGCTGACTGCCTGTTTTTACATTAAGACGATTAATGTGGATGCACATGCTAAATGCATTTGTAATTAAGGCTGAGCCTGGTCCCCACAACATCCAATAACACATGAAGCTGCGCCGTATACGTAAGTTGGTCGGCCTGGCAAATGTGTCCACCAGTACGGTAGAGACAGCAGAGCAAGGATCACTGTGCAACAGCAACAACAGTAGCAGCTGCAGCAGCAGCAGCAGCAGCAGCAGCAGCAGCAGCAGCAGCAGCAGCAGCAGAGACGAGCGTGCAGCAGGCCAGAACACTTACCGTGCATTAACAGCCGCCTGGCCAGCCAGATCTTCGCTGCCGGACTTCCTGTAGAATGACAAAAAAAAAAAAAATCAAAAACCAAAACAAGAAAATCTGATCTAGAACATAAATAAAAAAACTAAATCGATAATAAAGCACATTCTTATCTAAAAATATAACAGAACTCGATGATCCATATTACTGATAGAAATAAGGGAAAAAAAGCATGAATGAAAACTAAGCCGAAACCAGAACAGCAAAATACTGAAGCAAGATAATAAAGAGAAGATTCAAAGGCTAGACAATAACAGTACTGTAGTAAATAAAAACTAGGAAAACAATAGTGAAGTTTTTCTAGCACAATGTGTGGTATCAAGGACAAAAAAATTACACGGGTATTGACACATTTTTTTAAAGCCTGTCTTAATGACCCATTTAGTGGATTGACAAATTTTAAAACCCACGTCAGGCGGTTTTCTCTGACCAAAAAAATTTAACGGCTCTCTTCTCTTTCAACTTTCCCTTTCTCATCTCTACAAAAAAAAAAATCCACAAATTTTGACAGCTTGGAGGCTCTGACAGGATTTAATTACTTCTTAAACTGTGGGGATAAGACATTTATGTACCCTCAAGATAAAGACGCCTCGCCACAAGTGGCTTTGACAAATAGAATACATAAAATTACCAGTTATGAAATGACTTCTTCAACGTCTTGATGATGCACAAGCGTCTTAATCTTACAATCAGTATTATCATGCCCGTACTTCTACGTCACGAACATTTACTTCGGTATAAAAAAATGTGCATGAAGAATATCGAGCTATCGTCTCCCGCTGACTATATAGCATCGTTAACATTAAGTTCTGTGAGCTATTAAATGTTTTAATAACGGCTCGTCCATCGATGTAGGTCGGTTAAAAGGCACTTTGGAAAATGTTCATAGGTACCGTCTCTCGCAGGTAGCAGATTCAGCAGATTATGACTCAAGAAATCGTAATGACACGATTGCAAATAAACCATACCCCCGGCCGGGATTGAACCCGCGGTCATAGAGTCTCAAAACTCCAGCCCGTCGCGCTAGCCACTAGACCAGCTAGCCACAATAAGATTCATCCAACTAGGTATATTTCTACACCATAGGAAAGTTAGCACAGGCACCTCTGTGACCACAAATGCAAGTTTTTACAGACGAATCTCCAGCTAGCGTGGCCGTGACGAACTCTAGCTCAAGTCCCTTCACTGCCGTCAACATGGTTTATTTGCAATCGTGTCATTACGATTTCTTGAGTCATGTTGACGGCAGTGAAGGGACTTGAGCTAGAGTTCGTCACGGCCACGCTAGCTGGAGATTCGTCTGTAAAAACTTGCATTTGTGGTCACAGAGGTGCCTGTGATAACTTTCCTATGGTGTAGAAATATACCTAGTTGGATGAATCTTATTGTGGCTAGCTGGTCTAGTGGCTAGCGCGACGGGCTGGAGTTTTGAGACTCTATGACCGCGGGTTCAATCCCGGCCGGGGGTATGGTTTTTTCAGCAGATTATCTTAATTAGAAAAAATAAAAAATAATAATAAAACAATAGCGATATGTAAGACAAAATAATAATAAATATTATTATTGTAGGTATGTCGATAGTCTTGAATATTAACAACAAATATAGGATAATCATCGATAATAACTTTCAGAGGTCTTACGAAAACGGCAGGAACAAACTGGAGTGAGAGAGATCAGTAACCTCGCCCTCTTACTGTTGCTGCCACCCGCTTCTTACATCTCTGCTAAGACACACACACAAGAAGGTATATACTCCATTGTTCACAAATCACGTGATAATCCTGTTTTTACCTTCCGAAAAGAAGTTTGGTCAGCTCCTTGGTAGGCCGTCAATCACCGGGGCAAAACTTCCGAGTTTGTTTCTATGTGACTGGGTATTCGATTTGGCTTTAACGCTATTCTTTCAGAAAGAGTCAGCCATGACTGCAAAAACTTACATATATTCAGTGTATTTGATTATTATCTGTTGTTTCTGGTATCACTGTTTTGGTCGGGAACGTAACATTATCAAAGTGGTTACGATAGCATATTGCTTAGTGCATCCTTGTGCTTCGTTGGTTGATTGTTTTCTGGAATTTAATCCTACCTGACTGCATTCGAGTTGGTAAGGCTGCATTTCACTTATACACTACAATGAATAATACTCTAATCAGTTAAACAGGGATTAAGCGAACGCTTGCATGTATACAGACATATATCATGTATGTGCATATAAATGACTTTGTAAATGGTCCAAGTCAAACCGAAACGTCGTCGTAAGCACGTCTCTTCTATGTGCGGGTTATTTGTGTATCGTTCCAGTCACAGTACTGTACATTTTTTTGTTAATGTGCAAATAACCTGCGGCTTTTCGCTGGCGTCTGAAAAGAACACGAAACAGGGGAAAATGAGCACAAGCAAACACTGCTGAGTATAGAGCAGATGAGCACACCTCAGTCATTGACCTGTGAGCAGTGGTGGCCGTTGTTGACGAGCCAGAGATGTGGTACAAGTTTATCATGCACCACCAGTAACCTCACTCGTCTTGTGGTGACAGTTCTCCGTGGAATGCTACTGCGAGTGAAGAAAATCATATCGAGGTTAATTTTCGGGATCACCTGAAGAGTCGCCCTCACACCAAAGGACAATTTTTAAGTAAATTTAAGCAAATTTTGAATATTTAATTTTTGATTCTGGCCACAAAATTGACAGAGAAATCTAATCTTATTAAAATTAACGTTATATAAAAGAGGTTAATTTGCAAATCTACATTTCACTCTAAGCAGAGTGAAACGTAGTCTAACGCAGCTATTTTAGTTCGGGGGAACGAAACAAATATTCTGAGAAGCGTTGCTTTTTTCTAGATAAAAGTAAATAAATGCTTGTGCCAGAAAACCGGAATTGCAAGAAGTGCCTCTCACGCGTCATCACCGAGAAGCAGAAGACTCAAAACAATGGTGGGAACTTGTCAAACAAGGCCTAGCCATGGGCGACGTAAAATCACCAGAGAGTGATGACTTGGTAGGTATAAATAGCATGAAGGCCGAATTTCTCGCCTAGCTTTAGTCGAACAAGATGCTAGATTTGGCTGTGACCGAGCGACTTACCACTACTCAAAGGACTGGTTTTAGGACCCGTGTTTTATAAAGTAGTACACTTGCTATCTCGTACGCTGGAGCATTCTCAGGTTACAAATATGTATCACCTGACAAGATCACGCCTTTCGTAGCAGATCTGTCGACAGTTAGATGCTCAACGTCACTCTGCTGGACTACGCGCGTGCCTGGGGAATTTTAAGGGGAATCTGATTGCTGATGCGTTTCTCAGTAAGATTAGATTTTGCCGCCGGAGAGGCTTGTTTAGTGTTCCAAAAGAGTTAACGTGGAGTACATCTGGATATATCCAGGACAAATAAATTCACTTATGATTGACAGCATCCAAGGAGGTACCACGTCACCACATGAGAGTAAAAGAGAAGCTTGTTATTGCTTTGCACTCTCAGAATTTTTGAAAAAAATATGATGGCAGATAAATCTTACAAACTTCCACCTACAATCGGTATGCACTTTATTTTCCTATGCGTTTCTTAATTATGTAAATTTTTTTTCGTGAAATATTTTCTTTCCAGTTCAGAAGGTCTGGTTTGAAACCGAGCTGTGGGAGCGACGACTCCCATCCCATAATCATCAACAGATATCAGAGAACTTACCACTACCCGACTTGGGAAGAGCACAGCGCTGTATGACTCATTCGGCCACGAAGAAGGAAGAGAAGAAAAAGAGGAAGAAGTGTAAGAAGATAATAATTATTATAATAATTAATAAATATTCTTGACAAGAATCCCAGTGATTACAAATAGCCAACAACAGGGCACACTATTCCTCTTCACATTTATATTAAAACCCAAACACAAAAGAATACAAAATTACAAACTTAAGATTGACTGACTGCCTTCAAAAGAGGAAACTCAGGCAAGTCTCATCAGGAAGCTGGCTGGCAGAGAAGAGGGCCAAGGTAAGAGTGAAGATGCAGGCGATATTATCCACGGGATTCGCTTGTCACTCCTCACTTACTCAACATGCAATTTTAACCGAAGGTATTTGTTTTTGCGGAGCAACTGTGCGCAGAATCAAGATTTGTGGTGTAACAGATTTAGATTTATTTTTCTTTTTAGATTTTCTATTCCTCTGAGACTCTTAGTTTACTGTGTACGGCAGCGTAAAGGCAAATGAATACACGAGAGGCCTCAGAACTAGGCTTCATGAGGTTTAACAAGAGTACATTTGGATACACTAAGATAAGATTTTGTTTGGATTTTTAACTAGGAGGGTTAGCCACCTAGATTAACAAAAGAAAGTCAGTGCATCATCTAAGACTGTCTTATTTCTACAGCTTATGTTGCAAGCAAGTTTAGGATATGTGTCTAATATTTCTGATGCCATATTTTTATTAATAAGAGATCTTAACATCTCACAGTTTATTATAGTGTCTATATTCCTCAATAAGTGAACAATCAAGCACATAGTGCTAAAAAAAAAAAGTGACCCTGAGAATGACCATGTACTCAGCATTGGGTTTGATCATCTGCGTGTATGCTTCTGAATGTTATAGGAATACGGTTATAATCGTGAGCAGATTTGTAAGTTACCATGACGACAGTAACATAGATAAGCCTATTTACGAAGCAATTTGCAATGTAAACAGACTGACTGATGTAGTAACCAGGCATAGGCTTAGTTACAAGTACTTTTGGCAGTTGGTGTACACAGTTTGTGGTGTAACGTGGAAGAGCTGGGTTCGTCTGCCCTCGAAGGTGTCTCACTGGGCGTTCCTCAGTATTGGTGCTGGCATTTGGTGTCACCTGGAGTGCACAGTACACAGTACAGTACGCACATCTGCATTCACGAGCACACATGCGTTAACAAATTTAGATACACCGCAGCATATGGGCGCCTAGCAAACCTAAGAATAGCATTCCGACATCTCAGTAAGGAATCTTTTAGGACCTTAAACACCGTGTACGTCAGGTCCAT